GCCTATTTTTTTGTAATCAAGTTTTATTGGCATACAGCCACACCCATTTATTCGCATGTTGTCTGTGACTGCTTTTGTACTACAAAGGCAGAGATGAGTAACTGTGACAGAAGACTATATGGCCTGCAAAACCTTAAACGTTCACTGTCTGGCCCTTTACAGGAAAAGGTTGCTAATCTTGGCTCTAGAGCAGCCGTGGGCAAACTACGGCCTGCGGGCCGGATCCGGCCCGTTTGAAATGAATAAAACTAAAAACAAAAAAGACCGTACCCTTTTATGTAATGATGTTTACTTTGAATATATATTAGTTCACACAAACACTCCATCCATGCTTTTGTTCCGGCCCTCCGGTCCAGTTTAAGAACCCATTGTGGCCCTCGAGTCAAAAAGTGTGCCCACCCCTGGGCTGGAACGAATCTTCTCACAGGCGGCACCTGCGAGCCTTCTGGAAAGATTGGTTCCCGCCTGCGATGACTCCTGGGAATGCTAAGGCTCAAAGCTGTGCTTCTAAAGAGAAGATCTCTGAAGGCAGTGCCCCAAGGGAGGCATGGCCTAAGGAGCCTGGTTCCCCAGAGGAGGGGGGCTCGGTGGGTGCTCCCTCGGCCCCATGGTCATGTCTGCAGTTCCCGCTGAGCTCCCCCAGGTGGGCCTGGCCCCGCATCTGCCCATCAGGGCCCACGCCCAACAGGAGTGAGACGGCTTCTCTCCCGCGTGGTTTCACAGTAGATGCATCTTCACAGAAAGGAACTGCTCGCACCAGTCCCTCCACCACCTGCCGGAGACGGAAAAGCTGTTCTCCTGGGTCAGACGCTGATTCAGTCCTGCTGGTGGGATGAGGTAAGAATTCGCCTGGGCAGTGCCAGAGCAATTGTTCTGCTTGTTTATTTGTTGGCTATGGGACATTTCCCCAAAGAAAACCCACAGGAGCACACTGCGTAAAGGCCCAGCTGTCCGGTGACGTCGGGAGTCGGTTCTCTCCGGTTCCCTTCCCTCCTGGGCTCCCCTGCCCCTCCGAGGCCTCCTTCGGGTCACCCGGGACCCCCAGGATTCCTCCATGAATATCGCTAAGTGTCCGCTCCCGGGCTGGATTCCTGCACGACTAGGCTCCATGAGCAGAGGCCCCTTTCCAGCAGAGCCCGGCTCACCTCATCTGGTCTGTCCTGTGCCTGCTGCTGCCCGGTGCCCCTGGGAGACCCCGGTACGAAGCCGAAACAACCCGGCAGCTCCCACCCAGGACGGGGGCTGTGGCGGGTCTCCTGGTATTCCATTCGTACAGGCCCCGACCCAGTAAGAGCCTCATGGCTTCCTCCTCTGACTCCCCCTAATAGTCGTTGTCAGCAGCTATGAATAACACCCCCATTCCAGAGCTTCCCCAGCGGACTGAATTGATCATCTCAGAATGAATGTGTCTGTGATACGTGCACCAAAAGCTAACCGGTGCGTTCTGGTGGGGGAGGAGGAGAGAAGGTTACCTTATTTCCAAGCATCTCGTGGCAACAACCCACTGGAGGTGCTGTCGTTGCTGCTCCTGAATAATTCAGAGGCAGGGTCACACGTGTCACAGAAGGAGCCCATAATTAACATCGGAGCACACGCATTAGACTCTAAATTGACTCCGCTTGTTCTTAAAAGGGTGGCGGGGAGAGAGAGAGAGAGCTTGGCCTCGATTTTTATTCAGGGAAACAGCCTTTTGTGGTTTCATCATTTTTGTGAGGAGCCAAGAACACATTTAAGGCAAAGTCGCTGCTTAAATGACACAGCCATCGGCTGCCACAAGGGTCCGAGACAGTAGCAATGCCATGATCCACGGGGTAGCCAATGGGATGCCAGATGTGATCAAACCTTACACCATTCTCCCCCCACACCTCATGTCCTGAGAGCAAGGCAATTAGTAAACATCTCTCAGAATTGCTGCGCGTCTCACAGTGCAATTTGCATGGTATTCACCCGACATGTTTATATGCAGCTGATAAGGAAAGTCGGCCCACATCTGTGACAAAAAGAACCATTCTTGTATGCCACCTTCTTTTGTTGGGCCTCCGTGGACAAGTTGGTGGGATTGGGGTATTTCTGAAAAGCCAAAGAGAGTGGGAGAAAGGCCAGAACGGTGGTGGGGGCCGGCGGGGTGGGGGGGAGAGGAGGAAGGGAGAGAGGAGGCGTCTGGGGTGGCTTCGTGGTTGTGATCCCCAGAGGCGCTGGAATCAGAGATTTCTTTGAAGTACCAATGTTGGGCTCCACCTCCCGAGGTTGTGACTTGACTGGGGGTGGGACCCAGCCACTGGCATTTTCCACGCGTCCTTGGGGGTTCTGGTAGGCAGATGGGGTTGAGAACCACTGGAGAGCAAGGTCTGGGTGTCAGACAGAGCTGGGCTGAAAGTCCCAACCCCGACAGGCAGATCTACTCTTCCTGCGTTTCTCTCATATATTAAAGGAAAAGAAAGTCCGGCCGGTGTGGCTCAGTGGTTGAGTGTTGACCTATGCACCAGGAGTCACGGTTCAGTTCCTAGTCAGGGCACATGCTGGGGTTGCAGGCTCGATCCCCAGTGTGGGGCGTGCAGGAGACAGGCGATCAGTGACTCTCTCTCATCACTGATGTTTCTATCCCTCTCTCCCTCTCTCCCTCTCTGAAATCAAGAAAAACATATTTTTTTTAAAAAAAGAAAATACCTATGCCATCGGGCCCTTATAAACATTAAGTTAGTATATAGAGCATATAGTTGTTTCTCAATAAAGTCCACTCTTCTTCCCTTTAAAGAGGTGCCCTGAAGTCATCCAGGGAGAGAGAACGGAAGTGAGGATAACAGAGGGGCCGGGCACGGCAAAGGTCCTGGGTATAGGATCAGTGTCTCTGAATTCTTTGCTACCTTCTGCTCTCCCCTTTTTTTCTGGAAAAAAAATACCCGTGTCCATCAATGGCTGCTCCTCAGGATGTGGTCCTACCCACTCGGTGATTTGCTGGACTTCGTCCGGGCTGGGCAGCTAATCGGATAGGTTCCCTGCCTGTGGGTGTTAAGCTATCAGGAAAACCTTTTCGTGGGAATAGGATGGAGGCAGGAGGAGACTGACCCGGGACAGAGACACAACTCTTCCGTGTCACACACGCCTTCTGCTGCACGCACTGATTTTCTGCCAGCCCAGCCGTTCTAAGGCGCCTCCGTGAGATAGCAGGGCATTCAGAGCCCTTTCCATTCTCATCCCCGAACACACAGCCTATGGGAAATTCTGGAGGCAGCGCATGGAGCTGGAATGAGTAGATAAAAACCGTCGATGCCTTTGGTTCGTGGAGCCACCCTGGCCACAAAGGCAAACGTTGTACCCCAGGCTCGATTGTGTTTTTTTTTGTTTTTTTTAAAATATATTTTATTGATTTTTTACAGAGAGGAAGGGAGAGAGATAGTTAGAAACATCGGTGAGAGAGAAACATCAATCAGCTGCTTCCTGCACATCTCCCACTGGGGATATGCCCGCAGCCCAGGTACATGCCCTTGACCGGAATCGAACCTGGGACCCTTTAGTCCGCAGGCCGACGCTCTATCCACTGAGCCAAACCGGTTTCGGCCGATTGTTCTTTATTCCCCTTGCACTTCACAAGCTGAAGGAAATGGGGCGGGGGATACCCTTGATCTTCTGCTGGCACCCTCGCCCCCGCCACTGTTTGGCATCAGCCTGTGTCCAGCGGTGCCACAATAGGGTCCCCTCCAGCCGAGGGGGCTGCCTCTGCTCCATCGTGGGGCGTGGGGCCTTTTATTCTTACGCCTGCCTTTGCGCAGAGCTCCTGCCCGGCCCTGGGCCAGCGCCCTGGGCTCGGGGTCTTTCCCAGTCCACACCCGGGGCTGGTTTTCCCAGTGTTCCTGCTGCAGAATCTCCTGTAGGCAGGGGGCTTCGGCCCGGACATCACAGCCCCGCTCAGGTGGGCGAGACGGACAGGAGAGCGGGAAGGTGACGGTGGTCTTTGCTGCAGCCCCTTGTTCAAGGAACTGCCAGCCCACCAGCTGTCCAGCTGCCACTGTGGTTGGCCGCTCTCTGCCATTGATGCCTAAATATTCAAATGGGCAGGATGGCTGCTCCCATGGGTAGGAAGGGACTCTTGGATTCGGGATCCTCCCTTCTCCCTTCCTTGCCCAGACGCCCCAGCCCTGTTCCCTGCAGTCACCAAGCACGGGAGCCGTGCAAGGGTGCAGCTATTTTTACTAGAGTGCGAAGGTCCTCAGGGTACACACTATATTTAGCAGAGGTTAAAGTTCACATTGCACCATCAGAGGGGCACAGGGTGAAATCATTAAACAGCCTGTGGACTTTTGCCGCCCTCATCTCTCTTTCGGTTCCTCCTGCAAACACCTCTAGCCCTTCCTCATCTCAGGAGAGCAAGTCCTTTGCTTTTTATTCGTTTATTTATTGATATTGATTTCAGAGAGGAAGGGAGAGGGAGAGAGAGAGAGAAACATCAAGGATGAGAGAGAATCATTAATCAGCTGCCTCCTGCTTGCCCCATACTGGGGATTGAGCATGTGCCCTGCATGACCTGTGACCTCCTAGTTCATAGGTCGACACTCAACCACTGAGCCACACTGGCATGGCCAGGTTTGGTTTTTAAGTGAACTATGTAAAGAAAAAGATGAGAGAGAATCATTGATCGGCTGCCTCCTGCACGCCCCATACAGGGCACGTGCCCTGACCAGGAATCGCACCATGACCTCCTGGTGCATAGGTCGAAGCTCAACCACTGAGCCACACCTGCCGGGCAGCCCTTTGCTTTTTAGGCCTCGTGTCCCTCCTCCTGCCTCAGATGAGATCTTCCTATAGCCACCAGAACCCTCGAGTTAGCAGGAATCTCTGTGGAAATGTTAAATGGGACCCTTTCCAATGTGGAAAAGCGTAGCCTAGCGCAGTGGTCGGCAAACTCATTAGTCAGCAGAGCCAAATGTCAACAGTACAACGATTGAAATTTCTTTTGAGAGCCAAATTTTTTAAACTTAAACTATATAGGTAAGTACATTGTTATTAACTTAATTAGGGTCCTCCTAAGGCTTAGGAAGAACCACACGCAAGGGGCCAAAGAGCCGCATGTGGCTCGCGAGCCGCAGTTTGCCGACCAGGGGCCTAGAGCGTCTTAGGAATGCAAGCTGCCCACCTGCAGGCTGGACAACTCTAAAGGAGCCGCCCTGCCTCCCAGCCCCCAGGGGGCTCAGGGCCTGCTGGACCGCCTCCAGCCCGCCCAGTTTCTGCCTCTGCGCTGGCACCGGTGGGGATCCAATGGGATCCAATGGCACTTCTTCAGACAGGGAGCCCTCACCAACCCTCATCGACAGGTTCTCGACCCTGCAGCGAAACTGCGTCTAATGAATCCTGTTTTACCGAAGGTCAGTTGCTCTAAGCAAGGGCTAAGTCCCTGTGGCATCTCTTCAACGTTATAAGGAAACGGTATCCGAGGACCCGCTGCATCCCCGGCATCAGCTCCCTCTGAGTCTGCGTGCCAGGGAGCCCTGCCTGACGCCAGGCCCAGGAAACCTTAGTGACCGTCCTTCAAGGGCCCGACATTCCGTGGCTGCTTTTGGGGGGAAAGGGGACAAGTTCCCACTGTTCCCGAAGCCAGTTCCTCAGTGAGCGACCCCAGGTTCTGCTGGAGCGGCCATCGTGTAGGTCACATGCGCAGATGCTCAGGTTTCCTGCAGGGTCTCGTTGCATGGGAAGGTTCACTCATTCACGACAGGTCCTCCTGTGGCTTATAAAACACCGCAGGTTGCCGAACCGGTTTGGCTCAGTGGATAGAGCATCGGCCTGCAGACTCAAGGGTCCCAGGTTCGATTCCGGTCAAGGGCATGTACCTTGGTTGCGGG